AATATATATATATATATTGTAGGTTCAGTGTTCAGACATTTAATATATATATATATATTGTAGGTTCAGTGTTCAGACATTTAATATATATATATATTGTAGGTTCAGTGCTCAGACATTTAATATATATTTAATATATATTTTTTTGTAGGTTCCTGATATTATTCGTTCGATTAACAAGACCCGTGTGCATGCGCTTCGACAACATACGCGAATTATGTGGGACAACTATTTTTCATCGATAGAGAAAATTGTGATGACAACTTTGGAGGTAAACATGAAACAAAACACTTGTTTCAGACGCTCTTCCATAAAACAAAACTACGTACACGTCTTAATATTGTCAACGTTATTATTATTCTGTATATTCGTTTTATTATTAATGTTACGACATGTGTAATATAATACACGTACTATATACCATAGGTATTACGTTACTTGTGATACGATTACGTTACTTGAGAGTTTAATGTTGGGCACTAAGCTAGAGAAATCGTTCTATTAGAAAATCATAATTTATTGTGTAGGGATAGTGACGTCAGTAGATACGCATGATATAACTTGTATCAAATTAAAATTAATTTTTCATAATATTGAAGATCTGTGATATTGTTAATGTGCCAATAAGGTGTACACGACTTAGCGACACACAAACGCACGAAATTATTTTACATTCGGGATATCGTTTATGCATTAAGGATGTGGAACCTTAGAATAGGTTGTTTATATAAAACTGTAGTTTGGTTATTGTCGATTACACACCCACACTAAATAAACGAAACGTTATAATAGGTTAATTCTACGGTCTCATAATTTGATTATTGTCAAGGCGCACACCCACACTAAATAAACGAAACGTTATAATAGGTTAATTCTACGGTCTCATAATTTTATTATTGTCAAGGCGCACCCACATATTAGAGTAACGAAACGTTATTATATGTATACAGTTTCGTAATGTATGAATACGACGGATGTACACTTACTTACACATGTACGTACTACATAAATGAAAAGTTATATTATTTTATTTAAATGTATTTCACACTATGAATATAGTTGATGCACGCTTGAACACAGCTTCAATATGTCATCTTGTTTTAGAACTAGTTCTAGAGTTCTGTGAATATTTCCAGATTGTCTTTTAAATTCTAAATAAAAACCATAATTTACCTTAGTTTACACTATGATACATTCTTTAAAAACAACGTCTTAGTTTCAACTAGTGTTTCTCAGATGTGAATCAGAAAACTGATCTACAAACTGCTTCTAAAAATTTAGTGGAAATGACTCTTCTCAAAATGCAATGTGGAGTCGTTTCGTACTCTTCGCTTAGCTTGCATTGTTTATAATACCACATTTATTTACCAGTGCATTGTAAAAACACAATTACACTTGATATCCGCAAAATTAAGAATGAATAAGAAGAAAACTTACAGTTAGAACAATTCACGACACAAAAATGAACAATTAAAAGTGCAATCATTAATTGTATTTGTCACATCTAGAAACACGTAGATCAGAAAATCTTGAAAAAAGAACACGTTTTCTCTTTGTTGTTGTTTGTTTTAAGAAGTTTAAGCGGTAGAGGCCGTTTTAAATCTTTGTGAGGAAAAATATTGAAGTATACATTTTTAATTAACTTATACTCAATTTTGATTAAAGTATAAGCTTTTAGTATTGCAACTTTATTTTTATTTTATAGTATTCTTGCATTCTAGTATCTTATGAAAGTTATTAGTTTGTAAAATGTTGTAGTTACTTTTATTCCCCTGGTGGCTACATTTAAAGGTTGTAAAAACAGCATCAGATTTTATCAAAATGCATCATTTTAATTCAAAATTATAAACTTTTTTCGAGGAAACATGTCCGCGGACCCCTTAGCATGGCTTCATCAATAGTTCCTTTTTTCTCCTCTAAAAGTAATACCGCTTCAATGTTTCATCTTACACTGTTGAGTAGCTCAACGGAAAGCTTAAGGGCTTATAATACTAAAAATAAGAGTTCGATTCCTGGAATGGCCACAGCCCAAACAGCCATTGCGTAGCTTTGCGCTTAATCATAATCAACGTTATTATTAATGTAGCATCATCCGTGTGCCAATTATTCTAGAAGAATAACGAATAGTAAATGTTGTTTTGTATGATTTGGTTAAAGAAAAAAAAATGTCCTTGACAGAAAAATAAAACCTTGGAACCTGAAACTATCTAAAAAAATAAAAGATTTAAATAAGATAAGTTTTATATGCTTGTTTGTTTGTTTTGTAATTAAGCACAAAGCTACACAATGGGCTATCTGTGCTCTGCCCACCATGGGTATCGAAACCCGGATTCTAGCAATGTAAGTCCGCAGTCATACCGCTGTGCCACTTGAGGGCGTTTTATATGCGTCCCTGAAAATGGCAACTTATATCTTGATATATAACCGTTTTTAATTTACGTACAAGGACTCTATATCTTTATGCTCTGTTAATCTTTATTTTCTTTCAGGTTTTATTGTGCTTTACATGTATATTTATATATGTTCCACCATTTATCGTGACTATTCGTTCCATTCGTGTATTCTGCTATTAAGACGCACCAATTCTCCGAGAGAAATTTTTTTCTTTATTTGAATTCATGTTGTTGTTGTTTTTACAATAAAACAAAATGGGAGAAGCTCATGTATAGCATTTAATAAAATTAGCCACGAGTACGTTAAAACGCGTCTTCTGTGGAAAGCACTCTGTTAATTGCACACGAATGAAAACTGCTGCAGGACATAGGAGCATGGGAGTCACGTGAACATATCCAACTGCTTGCGTGTGTGGGCTCAGGTTGTTATTACTCGCGTACTATTTACCAGTCTTTAATTCAAAAATTAGCTAGCCTTTGAAGTATTAGAATGGCTCAAAGTGGACAGTGTATTTGAGTGAAAGATGTGGTGAAGTTTCTCCTTATTTTAGACGACGAAACCTCACGTCGTAGTTCTTAATAAGTTTAAACCACTGTTCTATGCAAATAGCATATTTTTTCGAAGTATTGTGATGTTAATATCTGTTTTTTAATTATCTTATTTAACCCATTAAAAGTACATTTTTCAGTATTATTAGAGCATCATAATAACTAAATTTCTGCATGTACTGCTGTATTTTCTTTGTGATAAACAGCCTTATAACTGGCCAGATAACTTTTAAAGGTATTCATTCAACTTACTAAATTCTTAGAAAGGCGTCTCTCCCTTATTTAAAGTTGTACAAGTATTTAGCTCAATCAAATCATTTTAAGTATTTGACTTACTTAAAATGTTACAAGAAATAAATACTCTGGTTACTTAAACGTTTGAAAGTATTTTTTGTAACAATTACTGGCACACTCGTATTGCTGCTGTATACTGTGTCTCATATTTTTTAAACTAACAAAACTTGGTGCCTTTTAAGGTTTCACTACACCTTTTTTGTCTAAGTTAAGGTTACTGATGGTTGGGGGTAATCTCTGAAATTCGCTTAAATGCGTAGGCGTAGGCTAAAACAAAAGATAAATGTAAACCACTAATATTATTCTCTCCTTTAATTGACGAAGAAAAGACCGGTAAATGTATCAAGTATCGTTTTTTTTTTTGCATTACTTCTTTTTAAAAATATATTAAATGAGAATTTAAGCAGATGATCACTAACGATTTTCGTATTTTAGGAGGAACAAGTTGGATTTAGAAACAATTATGGTAGTATTGACCATGTTTTTACTATACGTTCTGTTTGTTTGTTTCGAACTTTCGAGTAACGCTGGCCATTCCTAATTTTGAACTGATAGACGAGCAGGTAAACGATAGTCAATAGCATTCTAGAATGTGGTGTTTTATACGGTAACTGGACGCGAATCACGGACCTTCAGATTCACAGTCTAACACGCTCACCAGTAGGACACGCCTGACCCATGAATATTATGGATATATTGGATGTCTATAACACTACTGCGAGTAAGCCATAATGGGGGTAATGATCTCCATTCACATCAGTAATGAAACGAAACATGAATCCACATCGAAGTCATTCTTTTGCTGTTGCATGTAATGCTTCGTTGGGCTGTTAAAAGTTTTGTCTTTATCTGGATGATAAAACCAACCAGATTTGGGTTTCCTTACACATACAACTGTAGTTAACATGTCGTGTTCTTTTGTTTTGACCTGTACAAGGAATGTTATTTGAGCACCCGGTTTCCAAGGAAACTTCAATAATAGTCTTCGATCAATTGGAAAACGAGAAAATTTGGTAGATTTTTTTCCTCGTTGAGAAACTGCACTCGCTGTTGCGTCACTTGTACAGAACATTGGAAAATTACTTTATTCCATCTTTAAGGAAAGAACAAATAAAAGAAAATGCACCCATAAACAAAAATTTTCTTCATTATCAAACATTTAAAAATCTATGAACGGTGCCCATTTGTGAAGACAGTTCACTTCCTCACTTCTCTTTCTAGCAAGTGTTAAATGTTACATTTACAAATCGATGAACAGTGCGTAGTTGTGAAGAAAGTTCACTTCCTGACTTCCCTTTCTAATAAGTGTTAAATGTTACATTTAAAATCTATGAACGGTGCCTATTTGTGAAGACAGTTCACTTCCTGACTTCCCTTTCTAATAAGTGTTAAATGTTACATTTAAAAATCTATGAACGGTGCCCATTTGTGAAGACAGTTCACTTCCTGACTTCCCTTTCTAGCAAGTGTTAAATGTTACATTTAAAAATCTATGAACAGTGCCTAGTTGTGAAGACAGTTCACTTCCTGACTTCCCTTTCTAGCAAGTGTTAAATGTTACATTTAAAAATCTATGAACAGTGCCTAGTTGTGAAGACAGTTCACTTCCCGACTTCCCTTTCTTACAAGTGTTAAATGTTACATTGTGATTTTGAACTAGTTTACATGGCTATTAGTTTTATGCGGCCCGGCATGGCCAGGTGGTTATGGCGCTCGACTCGCAATCTGAGGGTCGCGGGTTCGAATCCCCGTCACACTAAACATGCTCGCCCTTTCAGCCGTGGGGGCGTTATAATGTGACGGTCAATCCCACTATTCTAAAGTTCTGCTCTCTCTGTATATTCATACAACTCTTTCAGCAAGACCATCTCACTGAGGATAGTACTACAAAGTACATGTGTTTACCTATCCCAGTATATGGCACAGTACCATGAAAAACTTACTACTAAAATTCGCTTCCTGGTCAGAGTTTAACTTTCCTTTAGCCCCAAATAATGAAATCTGAACTGTGGTATAGACAATGGCATAAGCGTTAGTCCACTTAGAGAATCAAATTACTGTGACCAGCAGAAATCGGTTACCCCCGCTCATAGCTACTAAAGAACCAGTAATGTCAAGGTCAATTTGTTTAAAAAGCCATCATTTTATTCACTATCTCATCCTGCCTTGACATAGCCCATATTTCTGTTTGAATAAACACACTGTGCAATGTATCCACTACCACTTTACGTCATGGCATTACTGCGACAATTAAAGCTGTAAATTCAGATTGGTGGCTGTATAAAAAATTTCCTGGTGTCTGCTTGTTTGCCTGGCTGATCTGAGATAGTTGCTGGACATTGGCTTGGTCAGAAGCGTTAAGGCAAAGCCCAGAGCTTCAATCGGTCCTTTCTTAGCTCTGCGATACTACAATAATTAATAATTTGGCCATGAAGCACCAACAGTAAAAAGTAAATCCAAGAAAGTTAATTTTTTCTCTTGGTTGTGGGTCAACATGTACAATATTTTTAGGATCCATCTGTACTTTTTTTCTGCCTACAATATGACTAAGAAATGCCAAAATGCCATTTCCATGCTCTGTGCACATTTTCTTGGCTTGAGCTTCACATCAACTGTTTGGATATACTAAAACACCAACCACAAGTCCCCAAGAACAACATTTAATTTTTTGCCAAACACAAACGCATCACCAACATAGATTAAGCAATTCTCCAACTGCAGTCCATACAAAGTCAGTTACATCAACCTTTCGTTGGTTGCGGGCACATTGTAGAGCCCAAACAACAAGACTAAGAACTCGTAAATATATCTGTTAGAGTAAAAGTAATTTTGGATCAACTCTTTTTCATTGAACCAACCTATGAGTTGCCAGATCTCAAATTCAGTAAACTGAATCAGCATGAACCTACCAAGTATCCAGCCATTTGATTCTATACAATAGCGATGACGTATCCTCTTGCATCCCCATGCTCACAAAGTGACCAATCAATGCATAGTTTCGTTGTCTCTTAATTCCTTTTGAACATAACTACTAACGATGACTACACCTTCACCAATGGCTGTATAATCTATCCAGTCTTTGAAAATTCAATAAATTTTTGTACTGACCAGATCACTTGTCAACCATGTTAGCCAACGTGGTGGTTATTCAATGAGATGAAAATCTCCATATCTATATAATGATACGTTACTATAGTTTCTCCAAGTGTTCTTCTCATCTGATAAAGGTGTCTTTGAGTTCTGTAAGTCTCATTTAGCTGCTTACCATACAGATTGCTTTAATGCAGAGTAGTTTGAAAACACCGACAACAAAACCTTCATGTACCACCTACCATTCCCATACTACTATTATTTGAAGCACTTAATTCTGTGTGTAATTGTACATTAACAATAGAACTGTATTATTTTTTTTAATTTAATGACATTCTGCGTATGATTACCTTTTCATCTAATTTACTTAACATTGGTTTTCCTACGTGCTGAGCTGCATACTTTATTAGCAACAACCGTCACCAATTCGTCCAGCCTGAGGATGATAGTGCTCAAAACAAGACCAATATAACCACCAAATCGAATTTCTTGTCAGTGATTAGATCCAAGCAATCCTCATCTAGTACTTCAGATAAGCAGCCATATGGCAAGCAGAAATTCATATTGATGGGTATTATGGGAGGTTTGGCTATCGAAATTAAAAATAGTCATGGAAGCCTCTGTATCTACCAGGAACTCTAACTCACATCCTTGCATGTTTTCAAGTATATATTATATCTGGCCTCACGTTGCTATTTGCAAGCCAGTCATCCCAGAGTATTGTTCAGGTGTAGTTTGGAGTGATTATGGTTTAATCTAGAATCATTCCTAGCAGGTGCGGGATAAGAACAATGCCTTGTGAACTGCCTAAGCCCACCACATTTACAATAGTCTAATCCATACTCTGATCTGGTTTTAATTCACACTTGGGCTTTAGCTAGAGTAAAATCCACATCTCCGTTTGTCTATTTTGAGTTCAGAAGCGCCTTGTACCTCATAATATTCTTAGATTAATTGTTTATCTCCAGGATTCTAATCTGCTCTTAGAGGCTGGTACTACGTGACTGCTAATATGGTCAATATTATCTTACTTGGTTATGAACTCCACCTCGTTCATGGAAGGTGAATCTTAAACACCACCAATCTGATTTTTCATTATATCTTCCTAATCTACAGCAACTATTCCCAGATAGGTCTTTTTATGCAGATAATGCACTCGTCTATGCAAATTCTATGTTGCACGTTATCAGTGAGCTCTACACCCTACCTGCTAGATTTGTCAGTGCTCTGTTGAATCATATTGAATCAGTGTTGGAATTCTCCATCAGCTTATTTCAACTGTTCAGCTGTTCTGTATCAAAGTGTTTCGTTGCATCATGTGAAGTGGTCTAACTAGAAGTCGGATTTTTGAGATTACCGCATCCTTGAAACACATGAGGAGTCTGTCCAGGACATATTTTTATAATTCCACAGAAGTTGTTGAGCTTATTTGCTTTATCCAAATGTTTCCCTTCTGGAGTCAGTTTTGCTTATGCCACTCCCCTTTCCAGCTATTGAATTAACCTCGTTGTGACTTTTAATTTTTTTGTCTGCTACATATCGCCTGTACTACACACGTTTCATCCACGTACAAATGGTGTGTACTGGATTTACAGTATTTGACTTATTCTTTGATAGATTGTTTAGGCAGAGTATTCATGATAAAACTTTGTAGAATAGACAGCAACTGCCTGTTGTAGAGACACAAGTGTAGAAGACGACGTTTTGAAAGTCTTCCGCCTTTCGTCTTCAAGTCAGTGTGTGTAAGGTGTTGTCGGTCTTTATAGTGTTCTGGTTACCGTCCATTCTACAAAGTTTCAGTATTTGACTTGTGACTCTCAGCTATTCTGGTAAGGTTTTCCTTCCTTTAATCCTAGAACTGCTCATGGTCGGCAATTTATACTCCTTTTTCTTTTCTAAACTGTTAATGTCTCAAACTTCTTATTGATTTATGACATTTTTGGTTACAAGGCTCTTAGCAACATATCAACAATACAAAACATTCGAACAAAATTACCATTGATATTGCGGTTAATCTTACTTATTACAGCTGAAATGTGTTATGTGTTTTACGCAATAAACAAGCGATTTCACACGATATTTTTGAACGGTTCTTTACACTGAGTGTTGTAATAGATCCAACACATAAAGTTACTCAGTATGATGTAATATATATAGACCCCACCAATATAACAACAAACTGGCAATTTTGAGGGTTAATGAGTGGGGCTGGGACAGCTGAGTCATGGTTCCTTTAGTGGTGATTCTTCTACAACTCGGATTTTTATGGTTGTGATCTGTTGGTTGATGGTGAAAAGCTGAAAGCAGCCTCTCTGTGACATAGCTATTTATCTTGAGACCACTGAGACTGACAGCCTGTCTGGATTGTACCGTTCCTGGGGGGATCCCACTGACTAATGAGTAGATTATTATTTCTTGAAACTGGTCTTGCCTATGCTGTCGTCGGGTGTCCTATATGCCTAAACTATATGCTTGAGTCTAATTCTGAAAAGGGGTGACAGATAAATACAACTAGTCGGAAGAGTGGACCACCCATTACTCAGCTAACTCACTTTTTCGACCCCGTTCGTGGCATTAAAATAACTTTGTAGCTTGCACTATGAGCTTTTTGGATAATCGTGAAAATGAAGGACTTAGCGGTGTATGCAAGTAAAGTTGAAGATGGAATGAAATATAGAACTAAAGTAAAAATGAACAAGAAGATGAAAATCAGACGAAAATAAAATATTTATTTATTCGGTTCCTGAAGACGAATGTTTACACTACGAACACTTACTAGCACCTAGTCATCCACACTATGACCACTCACTAGCACCTGGTCATCCAGTTGCTAGTGAGTGGTCATAGCGTGGATGACCAGGTGCTAGTGAGTGGTCATAGTGTGGATGACCAGGTGCTAGTGAGTGGTCATAGTGTGGATGACCCTAGCACCTGGTCATCCACACTATGACCACTCACTAGCACCTGGTCATCCACACTATGACCACTCACTAGCACCTGGTCATCCACGCTATGACCACTCATTAGCAACTGGCTGCTGTACCGTACATCAGATC